CCTTTGCCCTCCACCCCTAGAAAATGCTCGGTCCTTCCGGGCCTCGCCACGCACCTAAACATGCCAGAGCCCAGGGCAAAGCTCGGACGCCCGATTCATCCCAAACAGCTGCTGTCCGGGGCCACCGAGATCATTTTTTTATTCCGGCCGGTAACGCTCGTTACCCGGGGGGGGGGGGGGGTCGTGCCCCCCGGGTAACGGTAACGCTTGGGCTGGGCGGGGTATGGCGAAGCAGGGGCGCTCTGCGATCGCCATAGTATGCGCGCGAGCAGCACTCTCTGCCTGAGAGCACCACAGTGGCTTGCGATTCGAGTACAAGCGCAAAGCCCGCCGCGTGGTCCCGGCACCACGCCCGCGCCCGCGCGCGCGACGACGATGATCGACGAGCGACGAGCGACGAGGTCGACGACGACGACGACGACGTTTGCCGCCTGTTTCGGCCTCCGGAGGCCGTTTTCGGGCGCCGTCGACGACGACGACGACGACGACGACGACGACGACGACGACGACGACGACGACGACGACGACGACGACGATTCGAGTACAAGCGCAAAGCCCGCAAGCACCAGCATCGCGCATGCGAGCGCCGCAATGGCCTGCGAGCGCCCACAGTGCGCCTGCGACCACCACACCACAGTGCGCATGCCTTCGGGCACCAGCATGTTGGAGGGGAAGACCGAGACCCCACCCGCGTACGAGCGTTACCGTTACGGGGGGGGGGGGGGGGGGGGAGAGGCCCGGGTAACGAGCGTTACCCCCCAGAGGATAAAAAAACAATCTCAGTTCGGGCCTCCGAGGCACGAATCCGTAGCTGCCCTCGGCGGTGGACAGTACTCCCTTTAGTAGACCTCCACTTAGTGAAAACGGCCCGGGACCGAAACCGGCGGACCTGGACCCGCAAAGATGACGGCCGCGACGCCCTCTCGCGAACCGAAAACGGCCAATTCACTCATCGACGTGTCGGGGCGGGAGGTCTGCCCACCCCCGATCGGAGCCCTGCCAAGACGGAGCCAGGGCGAAGACAACCTCGGGCGAGCGAGGGAGCGCGCGATGTCGGTCCAACGGGGCCCTACGAGGGCAGCGCGCGGGGGGGCAGGGGCCCTCAGGAGGAGTGGGCAGCGGGAGGAGGAAGTCACACTCTGGTCGTCCCTCCGACTCCAGGATTAACATCGGGTGAAGGTAGGTGGAGAATCTCTCAGACCTGGCGGCTCTGGGAGGTGTCTCGGGAGCCGCGGCCTTCTCAGACCGTCCTGGAACACTCTGAGAGCGCTCCGGAGCGCTCTGGAAGTCCCGTCCGACTTGTGGTAGCGGCGACGTCCCTCGCTGATCGAGCCACTCAGGTCAACGTAATGATAGGATGTGGGATTTAGAAAAACGGCCCCGGATTTAGAACATCGATTTTGGATCTAGTAAACCTGTTCTTGTGTTTACTAAATCATGTTCTGCCTTGTTTTAAGGAGCGCGCGGTCATTCACTACGCTGACTTGGCCAGTGGCACTCACGGAGCTGCGGGCCCTGCTGGGCACCATTGGAGCCCGAAAGACGGGCACCTGTCCCGCGACGCTGCACATCGGCCCGGGAGGCAGCAAGCCGCGGCGCCCGCGGCGCGATCGGCTCAGTCTGGACGCGTGCAGTCGGTGAGTGGCCTGCGGCCCACCACCGCCACGGCGGCAACCGCCAATCCTCAGAAAGGAAGCAAAGGCACCCCTACCGCTACACTTGCCTCGTTTTCCTTCATGTGGGCCTCCTCGAAGGCCCTCGTCGCCACCATCGGATTCGCCTCGAAATCCTGTCAGAACGCACCCCAGGAGGGGTTCAGGGAGTAGCGGTCTCGGTACCTTTTGGCCTCACCAAATCCAGCCAGGAGGTAGACAGCAACACCTTGGACAGCATGCGATACAACCCGTGCCTTTTCAAACCCGTCGCGCTTTGTGTGCGCACGCCTATGCAGAAATCGGGGTCATCCTGCCGCCGCTCACGTCTGACTGCGTCGCGTGGACGTGAACCATCGTAACCGAGGGGGTGAGATCGCAGTGGAATGGAGAACCCCACACCAGGACATCGGTTTCGGTTTCGGGTTCGTTTCGTGCGGCCGGGCGGGGCGAAGCTGCGTGGGCGGGCGAGAGGAATGGACCCTCCTCTGGCTAGGGCGCGGCGAAGACAGAAGTCTGCCCCCCTCGACCGCATGGCGGGCGACTGCCGCGGACGTCCCGCCGTGATGTCACAGTGGTGTCCCGTGGTGTTCCATGGTGTCCCGTGGTCTCTTGATGATGTCCAGCAATGTCCCGATAAGGTGTTCCGTATTGTTCCGTCGTGGTGTCCCGTAATGTTTCGATGGTGTCCTGGTGATGTTTCGATAATGTCCCGAAATGTCCCGACGTGGTTTCTCGAAGGTGTCCAATGATGGTGTCCCGTGGTGTCCCGCGGTGTCCCGCCATGATCCCGATGGGTCCCGCAGTGTCCCGCCGTGATCCCGATGGTGTCCCGTGGGGTGTCCCGGGGTGTCCCAATGTGTCACGCGGTGTCCCGCGGTGATTCCGATAATGTCCCGCGGTGTCCCGCCGTAAACCTGATAATGTCCCGTGGTGTCCCACGGTGTCCCGTGGTGCCCAGTGAGATCGAACGTGAGATCGATACTGAGGATCGATAGTGGGATCGACAACGAGATCGACAGTGAGATGGATCGTGAGATCGATAGTACGATCGATATTGGGATCGATAACGAGATCGACAATGAGATCGATAGTGAGATCGATAGCGGAATCGATGGTGAGATCGATAGTGAGATCGAAAGTGAGATCGATAGTGAGATGGATAGAGAGATCGATGGTGACATCGACAGTAAGATCTATAGTGAGATCGATCGTGAGATCGATAGTGGGATGATGAGATCGAATGTTAGAGCGAATGTTAGGTCGATGATGAGATCGATGATGAGATCGATGATGATATCGATAGTGAGACCGATAGTGAGATCGAATGTGAGGTCGATGGAAAGACCGATAGTGGGATCGATGATGGGAAGGATCGATAAATCGATTGTTATACCGAGAATGAAGTCGATTGTGCGATTGGTAGTGGTATCAGCCGATGGTTCCCGAGCATCGAGGCCTATGGGGAGCAACAGCCACAAACTTGAACACCCACGTTGGCAACATATCCCTCCTCGTCGAAAGCTGCCTGCGAAAATGCCTATTTCAGCGGGGCGGTCCTTTCGACCGCCACGACCGAGTTGTCGCGCTCTCCGCTTAGAGCTACTGATCACGGTGAGGATCGAACACAGATCCTGCCACCAGCAGCCAATGCTAGCCTCCAGGACGTGCTTGATCCCTTAAGCAGGTGCATTCCAAGCATGCCACTACTCCGAGGGGAGATCCAGGGTCTTGATAAACATCATCAGCCTGCCGATTGAAATGCACGTACATGTAGTCATTGAACTCGGATGTGGTGCAAGCGCTACTCACGCTGCTGGTCTTGATGCGGCTGCGATCATACGCCACCACGCCTCTGGGCACGGAGTAGTCGTGCCCTCAGGTCATCCGCGTAATCCCTTAAGCCTCAGCCCCCAGTCCCGAGGAATCATCAAGGGGTCCTGACCTAAAATTTCCAAAACTCCCAAGGTTTGGCGCGTGCCCCCTGGGCTCCCCCGCACCTCTCCGCATCACTTTATGGGCCCCGTGAGGGCCCCAAGAAACATCCAAAATGGTCCCAGAGGGCCCGGAGACGCCTAAAGATCGCTCCAAGACGCCCAAGGCGGCCCCAAGATGGTCCAAGACGCCTCCAAGACGCCCCAAGAGGCCTCCAAGCAGCCTCCCGAGAAGGGCCCAAAAGGCCAACATCATTGAATGTCCTTCGGCGTTCGGAGGTTGTTGGTCTTCTCGCCGGTTCGGCATTCTCAGACGCTCAAGGACAGCCCGAGAGGCTCCCAAGGACGCCCCAAGACGGCCCAAAAGGCCGCCAAGAGGGCCCCACCACGGCCCAAGAGGGCCCCAAGACGGCCCAAGAGGAGCCCAAGACGCCCAGCCCAAGGACGGCTCCAAGAGGGAGCCCAGATGGGGCACCCGAACTGACATGTGGAGCCCCGAGGGGCCCCCAGGAGCACGATGCCCCAAAGAGGCCCCAAGGGGAGCCCACGAGGCCCCAAGGGGAGCCCAAGAGGCTTAAAGAGGATCCTGAAGGCCCCAAAACTGCCCCCAAGAGGCCCCCGAGAGCGCTCCGAAGAGACCCCAAGGAACATCCCTGAAAACTCTGACTCACAACCATGGCACGCTGGCGGCATGGGCCGAAGGCCATCCGATAATTGATGACAGAGTTTGCCACGCGTCGCATGATACCTCACATCCGTACTCTTGCGACATGGGGATTGATGTAGATAAGGTAAGCGAGAGCAGATCGACATGATGGGATGGCGACTGCCCCTCCCAGCACTTTAGTGTAGGACCCGATATCCTGAAACCTGCGCTGTTGGAGTATTATCAGAAACGCGTGACCATTGATCGTAGCTGTAATCGTCACGCACTGGCTGGAGGCAAGGTTAGTGTTTGGGTATTCGCGGCTCAGCTGAGTTTAGGACAACTATCACGTTACCACTCTATTGCTCTGCAATGTAAACTTCGACCCGAACAGGATTGACTGCTTTGCCGAGAGGAAGAAAGATGAGAGTACCAAGGAGGAAGGATAGAGCCTCTCAGAAGGCGGCGGGACTTCTCAGAAGCCCTCGCGCCTTCTGAGAAGTTGTCTGCGTCTTCGGGGAAGGCTCAGAGAACTTCTCAGAAGGCTTTGAGACTTCCGAGCCCCCTGAGAAGGCCTGCTCCTTCTCGCTCCCCCCACTCGCTCGCCGCCGAAGGGTGGGATGGGGAGGTGGACCGAGGGCTCCCTGCTTCGCGCTTCGCGCTGCGCGAAGCGCGAATAGCTTCGCGCCCTCGAGGGCACCCTTGTCTGGACGGAGGAGGCCGGGGGAGAGGGAGGCCCCCCGGAGGCGCGGGGCTGGGCGGGGTCACCCTGCGACTTGGGCATCGCCACCCCGGCGCTGTACTTGCAGGCGCGCCGCGCCTCGCGGGAAGGGGGGGGGGAGGGGGGGACGGGCTGCCCTCTCCCCTGTTCCCCCTTCCTTGAAGGGGCCCTGGGGCACAAAAGTAGATGGACACAAATAAGGAAGCGACTGAAACCGGGAGGTTATTCAAGACTTAATTCCGGAGTTAAGTCGGCCCGATTCCGGGGTAAAGGCCACCCCGCGGAAAAACTTAACTCCGGAGTTAAGTCGCCGCCAAGCTGGCGGACGCACCAGCTAACACGAATTAACTCCGGAGTTAAGTGATTCCCACGCCGCGCGCCCCAGCCAGGTACAGACTTAACTGCGGAGTTAAATCGCCGCGGCATTTGGTTGGGTGCCGCGACGATTGAGAGGACAGGAAGTGGAAGAGGAAGAAGACGGCGACGAGGAATATGAGGAGGAGGAGGAGTGAGGAGGACGAGGAGGAGGAGGAGGAGGAGGAGGAGGAGGAGGAGACAAGCTAGGTGCCTTCGCGTCATATCTGACATCCTACCCCTCCCTCCCATCCCTTACCATGGCGTAGATCCCCTCTCTGTTCGCACACAGTCGGATGTCGATCAGGGCAATGATCCCGAAAGGGTACGCGATGCATTGTAGAGCACGGCGTGGCATGGCGTAGAAGAGCACCGCAAAGCGTAGTATGTCACAACATGGCGTGGCGTGGCGCGGTGAAGAATTGCATCACAAAGCTTTGCAACGCAAAGCATGGTATCGCACAGCGGCCCCGAACATAACATTGCATAGCATGGCGTTGAAGATCTAAGCGTAGCCTGGCATAGCACGACGCGGCACTTAAGCACTGCATATCACAGCTTCAGCTGAAGGCATGGCATCGCGCAGCGTCACGCAACCTAGAATTGCATTGCACGCCGTGGCATGGCACGGGAAATGACGCCAGCGCTGCAGCGGGAGCACGATTGGGAACGAGCGGAAGCGCGGAAATGAAGCCAACGCTGCAGCGGGAGCACGTTTCGGAACGAGCGGAAGCACGGAAATGAAGCCAGCGCTGCAGCGGGAACGCGAATCGGAACGAGCGAGACCTGAAAATGAAGCCGGCGCCTCAGCGAATGCAGCACTTTGAAAACATATGCAGGCGAAAACCCAACTCCAGGGAATCCTGCGTGTAAAAATACAGCACGCAGGGGGGCGGGGGCGAACGCTCCCAACATCAGGGGAAGGAGGAGAGTAGCGTTCATATAGAACAATTGTGGAGGAGGAGGAGGGGGCACATCAGGGCACGGGGGGCCGAACGCCGCAGGAGCGCGACTGCGACTGCGACCGCTACCTCTGGGCCGAGCTCCGCCTCGCCCCCGCCCCCTCTTTTTCACGCGAGCGCGATGCGCAGGCTGCTTCCCGCCAATCGCCAAGCAAAGCAAGCATGCGAAGAGTCTTCGAAAATAATCAAAATCAGACACGCTTCGATGCTCGCCGACCTCCGCCTCCCCCTGCCCCCCCCTGGCCCGACTACAAGGGCCCTCACTTCCGGCGCCTCTTCGGGCATGGCCCGTCGCCTGGCCTGGCGCCGGGCCCGCCGGCGCCGCCGCCGTCGCCCGGGGGGGCTCCCGGGGGGCGGCGCCGCCGTCGCCCGGGGGGGCGCCCGCCGACTCCGTGCCGTCGAAATGCAGCTGGTCGAAGCTGCAAATGCGGACGGCGGGCCGCCACCTCGGCGCGACCAGCGGGCGCGGAGCGGGCGACGGCCGGGGCCGGCCGCGACCCCCCCCCCCGGCAATATATGCTGGAAGCTCCAAAACTTGTCTACATGCTAAACCTTCCAAAAGAAATCGCCGAGGGCCCCAATGGATCGAGGTGCGTCGGCCAAGCCCGACTGAATTTGGCCATAATGCGCGAGGTGGCCAATGGGGGACGGCGCGCGGCGCGAGGGCCCGCGGCCGCCGCAGCGACGCGCTCGGCACGCGCGACTCGATGGCAAACTAAGCCAGCCGCAACGACCTGTCGATGCACGTGGGCGGCTCGATGTTGCGGCAGTAGGCGCCCACGTCGCCCTCGACGTCAGAGATAATGACCTCGGGCGCAAGCGGAGCGGGCGGGGGGGTCTCTCGGGTCGGGTGAAAGGGGGGGATAGCAAAGGGGGGGTTGAGAATCAGCTCACGTAGCTGATTTTCCCGGCGCCTCCCAGCGCCAGAGGCGGCTATGCATCGAGGAATGGGCCCCTCGGTGAGGCCGAAGCGAGCTGCATGCAGCAAATTTCGTAACCCCCCCCTTTCCCAATCCCCCCCTTTCGCCCGACCCGAGTCTCGCGCGCCCCCGGCCCCAGGCGCGCCCAACGCCGCGCGCGCGCGCGAATCGCAGAGCCCGCGAGAACCCTGCCGGCGGCGCCCCCCCGCGGCGGGCCGATCGGCGCCCGCTGGCCACCAAGCGCTAAGACGGCGACGATCGGCCTCATCAAGACCGCGGCGCACGCAGTGGCCACCAAATGGTCCGCCCAGGAACCGGGCTTCCGCATGTGCGCGACGTACGCGTCCACGTTGGGGAACTGAGCTCTGTTGAGCGCGTTCTCGAACGTGCCGGGGAGGCTCGCGATCCAGTTCGTGGCTGGGGGCGACGTTTTACAGGCGCGGGGGCCCGTGCGGGGGCGATGGAACTCAAACCCCGCCCGCGGGCCCCCCCCTCTGCCGCTCGGGCCCAGCTTGCGGATAGATAGCGGGGGCAGGGGGGGGTCCGTCAAGCGGAGGGCAGTCCTTCAGCTCGCAAGCCCTCGGCGGTCAGGCCGACCTCCTCGCCGCCCCTCCTGAGCGTCTCGATCAACGCGTGGAAGAGACACGCCCCGTCGCCCGGCACGCCGACCGCCTGCGATGTCAACTCTGGGACAGCGGCGGTAATCGCTGGGGCGCAATCTACGCGGCGCAATCACAGGGGTGCAATCTATGCGGCGCACTGCAATCTACGCGGTGCAATGCAATCCCCGCGGCGCAACCTAGGCGACGCGAGCTATGCGTCTCGGCGACGGGCGGCCACAAGCGGCGACGGAGAAATAAGGGCACCTGACTGCGCGCGCGGATTGCGCCCGCTGAAAGGAAATAGGAACGCAAGCACTGTTCGGAGAATCGGGCAGCCCGCGAACGGGCGCCCAGCCAAATGAAAATGCGCAGACCTACATCAGGGCGCATCGGCGCGACGAGGCCTGGAGGCCCCACTTCGCCAAGCGCTGTCCGATGAGTTGCACGCTGGCCGCGTGGCGACGACCTTGCTCCTCCTGCTCGCTCAGGGAGAGCGCCTTGGCCATGTTCAACTGCAGGGCCTCCCAGTCAGAGTTGTACATGGAGCTGATGCCCGCCAACATTGCCTCGAGGACCTTGGAGCTCTTCGCCATCTGCGCGTGCTGCGGGCAGAAATTGCACGACGCCTGCCGCTTCCTCCTGCAGCGGGCCTGCGCCGTCTTCCAGCAGCACCTGTGGGGCGGGGTGGGTGGGGGGTCTGGGCGCCCCGAAGAGCAGGGGGGGTGGGGCGCCTGTCGCCCTCGTACTGCAAGTTGGACGAGAGCAGCGGGGCGGCGCCTGGTGACGCCGCGGAGCCGGGTAGCTTGCGCGGCGGCGCCGCCGGGGCCGCTGGCCTGCCCGCGGCGGGCGGCCCCGGTCGCGCCTGCGGCGCGGCCAAACCGCCCCCCCCCCCGCTTCGACGCGCGCCCGCCAGGATCGGGGCGCCCCTAGGGGGCGCGGGGCGAGGCCGATGGGGAAGGGGGCGGTTTGGCCGCGCGGCCTGAAACATCGCCTTCATCTTCTCAGAGTATTTGGGCGTATTCGAATGCTTCGGCGGCTGGGAGGAAGAGGAAGACCCCGTAGCTGCGTGCGGCAAACTGGCCGGGAGCGGGGCCGCGTAGGACCCCTCCAACATTTTCTCGACGAACAAGGAGTGCTCACTGACCCCCCCGTGCTTCATCCAGTGCCTGTGCGAATCGATGGCCTCCCCAGTGTCCGTCACATAGACGATGGCGAAGAACGTCCTCAAGTACCGATGACGGTTCATGGAGTACCCGTTCTGGTCCAGGCTCCTGCAAGGCGCGAGCGGGGCCCCCCGGCGCGCCGGCCCCCTGGGGTTGAAGGGGCCGATGCCACCCGCCACCGCGCCCCCCCTCCACGGCCGCCCCCCGCCGTCGCGGTGACGGCCGCGCCCCTGGCGTGACGGGGGCCTGGGCTGGCCCCGTTCAAACGCCGCGTCCTGCCCCTCGCCGCCTCCCTGACATCGGAGAAAGACTTCGCCGTGCCCAGCTGCAGCGCCGCCCGCATGTCCGCCTTGCGCTCCTTCGCCCAGCCCAGGTGGAACTTCGGCAAGACGTACACGGAGGTGGTCTGGACTGCGACGCCGTCGACGTTTAAGACGACGTTGCACGCGTTGGAGAGGTACGTGCCGTCGCGGCCCTCCCGCTGGAAGTGGAGTATCATGTCGTGGCGGTTCAGCCTCGCGGGGCGGGTCGTCGCGCCCCCCTCCTCCTCGCTGACATCCTGTTCAAGTCTGCTCGCCACTTGGCGGCGGCCCTCGCCAGTCAGCGAAGGGGGGGGGGATCTTGATCTCGCGGTGTAGGGACTTCCAGAAGCCAGTGTCCTTCCTCGACGTCATCATGGTGCCGATTCCGTCGATCAGCTCTGGGAGTGACTTCGGGCCCCCCGCGCAGCAAACGCCTTTGAGAGTCCGCCAAGATCTTCAATTGTAGACGTCGCGTACGTCGTAAGGCCAGGGGGGGCCTGCCCGAGCCCGCAGCGCCAGGGCGCGGTGATCGTTCCGTCTGGACGCACTGTAAAGATGTTCGTCAGGAGGTAGTCCGCCATTGCCGACTCACCCGATTGAAACGACTCTCCCCCGTCCTCCCTCATCCGATCGAATATCTCCGTCCACAGCACGTTGAACTCCAAGTCACTCTCACCCTCGCCCCCGGCGCCGCTGTCGGGGAGGCCAGCGGAGAATTCCATGCAGTTCTTGATGGGATGTATGAGGGCCGTGTTCTTCATCCGCTTCACGCCGCTCCCCTTGTCCAACATCTTCT